CACGCATTAAGGCGCAGCAAAAGGTCCTGCAGCATCTAGAGCAGCAGGAGCAGCTCGTCACGAGCTTCTGAGCATCTGAGGCGCTTCAGAAGCAGCAGCTGCTGGAGTTAGAAAATTAAACATTTGCTGCATGACGCGCCGCATCAACCAATCGGAGAAGCCGATCTGGGAGCTGGCAGGGAGTCAGACACAGCACTGCTGCTGATGCAGAGCGCTACGATCGCTCCTCTGAAACAGTTTATTAGCGCCTAAATTAACTTAAAATGTCAAAACCTGACGGCAAAGTATGTTCGATTTTATTATTTTGATGCCGGCAGTTTAGATTACGTATGTGAAAAACGCCTTTCAGCCGCTGTGAGCAGTAGTGGAAAACCGCAAAGAGGCGACCAGGCCAGAGGCTGCTGCTGCTGGGGATTCCCAGTGACAGCGCAGCGCCGGTATGTGGGGGTCTGAGCGGCTCCCACAGAGAAATAATCTTTGAAGGCAGGTCCACAGACCATGTTTTCAGGTGGACTTTCGTACTTAAAAACATCTTAAAACTAATTTTTACCTGCTGATCACAGCAAATATAGCTGCCATTGTTCAAGGCAAAGAAAGGATAGGGTAGCTCCGCCCAGCGTGCATCAGACCCAATTTTCCACCAGGCAGCTAGAGCAGCAAAGATGCTTCAGCTTTGCGTCAGAACTAAACTTGTACAAGGATCAAAAATGCTGCTTCTGCTGCGGTCTGAACGTAGCATAAAATGGACAAACTGGTGATCTATCAAAGTGATGAACTTCCTGCTTCCTGTGTGAAAAGCCTCCTCCTCCTTTTTGAAAAGCCTCCTCCTCCTTTTTGAAAAGCCTCCTCCTCCTTTCTAAAAAAGCCTCCTCACCTTGAGGAACTTTGAGTTTTGGTCTTCCAGCAGCAGGATGTCCTCCTCCATCTTCTTGATCTTTGCTTCGGCCGTCACCTTATCCAGCTGCAGCTTCTGTCTTGCAGCTTCCTCCTCATCTAGCTGCTCCTCCAAATCCTGAGAAGACCCAGCAAAATAAAAAGGTTTAAAAAAGAAAAAGGGATAGAGCGGTTAATGTCAGCTAGAAATAATAAAATGAGGACAGTACCTGGATGTGGGACTGCATCTTCTTCTTCTCGTTCTGCAGGTTCTGGTTCCTCTCCTCCTCTTCCTCCACCCTGGATTCCAGGTCGTGGAGGATTTCCTCGAGCTCTTGCTTCCGAGAGAGGAGTCGGACTCTCATCTCTTCGGCCTCTGCGAACAGTTCTGTCTCTGCGTGGAGCTGCTCTGCTAGGATGTTCTTCTCCTCAAGGAGCTAAAGGAAGCAGTTTGTTTGAATCAGCCTGTTATTTTTTAATTTAAATGAAGTTGATGAGAGGTTTTTACCTGCTGGTGTTTCCTTTCCATCTCCACCAGCTCGTTCTCCACCTTGAGCTGCCTCTCCTTCACCTTCACCAGCTCCTCGTCTTTGGCCTGCAGCTCCTCCTCTTGCCTGGTGACCTGAAGCAGCGGTTTCACCTGGAGCACAAACCAAACTCAGTCTCTGCTCTTCAACTCAGAGAGGTTCTACATGTTGGCTGTAGTGGCTCTGACCTTGGTGAAGAGCCTCCACCACTGCCAGTGTCTCAGCTTGAGGTAAGCAGCACAGTTCCTCTGCAGGACCTTCAGAGCACTCAGCTGCTGCTGCTTCTTGGCAAAAGCTCTAAGAAACAAACACGACAGGGAAGAGGTTCATTTGAACGAATCGATTGCTCTATAGTTCTGCTGCTATAGGCTTAGACTGCTGGAGGACATAGGGACC